AAATGCCTTTCATGTATTTAGCTTAGGAGTAAAATTTCATTTGGAAAAGGGGTCTGCCTACTCAATTAGAAGCTAACTGAATCCACTCACTTTGAAAGGTGGCCTCAGGCCAGTTCAGCCCACAGACAAGATTTCATTGTGTTGAAGGGGACTTTGTCACCAACTTCCCCCAAAGCATCTCCCCTTGTATTTTGCCACAGGAGAATTTCTACTTCTAGGCCCATTTCTTTTTAAGGCATTGAAAACAGCAGTTTGGAGAACCTAGAACAGATTGGTCAGGAAAACACATTAAGGCATCCATTAGCACTTCCATGTGAATAAGATTGGGCTTCCCTAGCGGCTTAGTGGAATCTGCCTGCTAATACAGGAGACACGGGTTCAATCACTGGGTTAAGAAGACCTCCTGAAGAAGGAAATGGCAACACACTCCAATATTCTTGACTGGAAAATCCCATGGACAAAGGAACCTGGCAGCTACAGTCCATGGGATCGCAAAGACATGATTGAGTGACTGAGCATGCATGCATGAATAAGGTTATCTATTAACTCATGGGACCTAGTAGGGCCTGGAGAAAACTTGATAAGTTTCTGTGGAGAGGACAAGAAGGAAACGACTGGAAACCTGAGCAAAAAAAGGGCAACGATAGGAAACCTAGGTTCTGAAAGTTGAGACCCATGAGTCAAGGAGAGTGGAGAGTTGATGGCTAGTAAGGGCGGCAGTGTTGGGGGGGGGGGGTGGTGTAGTTTTCATCTACCCCCCACTGCTCCCCCCACCCTCCCCAATCTCACCTTGGTTAGCAGAGCTCCTATCTCCAGATCAATAGAGTTTTTCTTCTCTAATATAAGAACTTTATTCTTCTGATTGTGTCAACTATTAATATAAATATTTTTGTTTAACTGAATTTTACTCTAAAAGGCTTCTGTTGGAGGAAAGGATAAAGAAGATGTGGTACGTTTATATATATATATATATATATATATATATATAGGAACATTATTCGGCCATAAAAAAGAATGAAATTGTTCCATTTGCAGAGACATGGGTGGAACTAGAGACTGTCATACAGAGTGAAATTAAGTCAGAAAGAGAAAAGCAAATATTGTTATGTTAATGCATATATGTGGAATCTAGAAAAATGGTATAACTGAACTTATTTGTGGGATAAGAATAGAGACACAGACATAGAGAACCAACCTATGAACACCAAGGGGGAAAGGGAAAAGGACGGGATGGATTGGGAGATAGGGCTTGGCATATATACACTATTATACATATAAGAGATAACCAACAAGAATCTACTGTGCGGCACAAGGAACTCTACTCAATGCTCTGTGGTGACCTAAACGGGAAGGAAATCCAAAACAGAGCGGGTGTGTGTACATGTTTGGCTGAGTCACTGTGCTTTACAGCAGAAACTAACACAGCGTTGTAAAGCAACAAACTCCAGTAAAAAATTAAAAATAAATAAATGAATGGTTCTGTTGTCACCAGTACCAATAATAATGCCTAACCTATATTCATCTTGAGTTTTGCTACCTTCATAAAGCCTGTTTATTTTTTTCCAAATTCAAGCCACAAAGTTCTCAAATCTATCCACAGAACTGGTTATACACACTAATGTTTAGGTCTCCCACTTTGGCACAGGAAGAGATGGATAGAAGCTCGCCTAGGGTACAAAGGTAAGATGCATGCAGTCGGTTCCCTAAATTACATTCTCCTTACAGCAAGGTATGAGCAGAGTCTTTACTTAACCTGTACAATTTGTAAAATGGCAGAAGGAAAAGCCTACTGGGTCTAATTTTTACATTACATTAAAGTGATAAGTAAAATTGAGTTATAGCCATGACTCACTCTCTGCAAATTACCATCCCACATCTCCCAGCCTGCACTGGAGGACATTTCTCTGAAGAAACGTGCTTAAGAGAAACATGCTTCTGAACTGTGAATGACTGAGGTAAATTCTAAAGCCAAGTTGGCAGGGCGCTTAACTGTACAAAGATGAAGACAGAAATAGGACTGTGTTTTTACAAAGACTGTGTCAACTTTCAGTAGAAGTCAACCTCAGATGAGAGTGGAAGTGAAAGAGAGGTGGCAGAGAACTTGAATGAAATGAATTTTCTTACCAATTGCCCCCACATAGATACATGAACATTTCAGATACACCTAGTAATACTGCCAGCTAATAGTCTACAATTGAAGAAGTGCTTTCATGTGTGTTTTCCCTTCTTTGCAGACTGTGAGCCTTGAACATCAATCAGTCATCCAGGATGCTGCTGGAGGCTAAAGAAGAGCCTTCTAGACCTCAGCTTTCTTCAGGTATCACCTATATATAGATACACCCCGTGGCACCCCTCCAAGGTCCATGGGTCTCAGGACTGTGTGTGTGTTTGCGTGCACACTGTCTCTACTGCACATTGCAAGGTCAAGACACAAGGAACAGCTGCATCTTCTTTCTGCAGGTAAGAGCTCTCTCTTCCTCACAATCTACTGTTCATCACATTTAGAAGCCAAACCCACACCCAAACACCCTTTGAAAACTCTCAGTGCTACCTAGGATGCTGACAGAGATGTCTTGCTGATTTACCCAGTCCTTTGATGATAAATAAAATCAAGCCCTGATCCCCACTGCTGTTTGGTATTCAGCTATGTCCAGGGAGGGAGCCCTGCTGGTCACTCATAATGCAGCCTCCCAGTCTTCATCTGTTTGTGAAGGACCTATGGAAGGTAGGATGCTAACAGTCCGACTCTTCCTTTTCTAAAGCCCTATTGACACAAGTTGTTGTTTAGTTTCTAAGCCCTGTCTGACTCTTTTGCAACCCCATGGACTGTAGCCCTCTAGGCTCCTCTGTCTATGGGATTTCCCAGGCAGGAATACTGGAGTGGGTTGTCATTTCCTTCTCCAAGGGATCTTCCTGACCCAGGGATCAAACCCAAGTGTCCTGCATTGGCAGACAGATTCTTTACCGCAGAGCCATTAGCGAAGCCCATGTTTACACAAATTACTTCTTCCTTTTAATGAGCAACCAGGATTTCTTTTCTCTTTGTATCAACCACACACACACACACACACACACACACACACACACACATACACATTCAGTGCTGGAGAACTAGTGAACATTAGTGTTCTTACTTATTTTATTCCTAATGAAGCAGGTTCAAATCAAACAGCAAAGTCTGAGAAAATAATCAAAAAGCTCATGGAAGGCTTTTTGCCTTTGTGTTTGTTCTAGTTTTCCTCCACTGATCATTTTCAACTCTCTTCTCAATCAAGGGCAATTAAGTAGGTGTCCTGACCCCAGGGCAGGTGGTAGCCCCAGGTTCAGGCAAAAATCACTGAGACCCTGACAACTACCGTGTCTTGGTACTCAATGGGCAACTTTCCCAGGGGAGGCTTTCAGTGGAGAAACAGAGACACTTGAGAGACCTTTCTGCAAAACCAGGTATTACCTGGAAACCCAGCCAGTTCTGACTGTTGTTGAGAAGATGCTCAGCCTTCCCCAGGCAACACTTCTGTCCCCAGAAAGGAGAGGGCAGTGAGATCCCAGGTAGGTAAAGTGAGAAAACCCCTTCTGTCCCTGAGAGATGTGACCTGCTCTTTGTCTTGAATTTGGCCTGGTGTCAGTGAAGATCCATGGGGCCGAGATCCCATAAACGACACTAAGTATACTGAATTGTTGACTCCATGGCTTGAATCAAGACCAACACTAGTTTGAGAGGGGTTTGGAGAGCCCTTCACCCACTGCCACACAGATGGAAATGGTGTGAGCCAGGCGAAAAGGATGGAGGGTGCTGCTATCTGCTTTGTATCGAAGCAGGTACCTGGTAGAAAGACTGGGGAAAGAAAGGCAGTGTAATTTGATTTATTATGTAATAGGATTGTACACAATAAAGAAACCTCTTAGGTGACAAGGAGAGAGGTCTCAACCAGATGGCTAGGACTGTACCTTATGCTTCTATTAAAAATTACATCCTCTGTGTGTCCAGCCCAAAGTGAGTCCTAATATAAAGCTGACACTCCCCACTAGAGTAAAAGCTCTAGAAAAGGATTTTTGTTGTTGTTTTGATTTTTAATTGTGTGTACCCATCACCTAAACAGGCAGGCATTCAGTACGTATTTACTCATTGACAGAACTTTCCATGTCCTCCTCCCTCCCCATCCCCATGAAACAGGGATTTATAAACCAAAGCCAGTGAAAAGGGAGATGCTGGTAGAAAGAAACGCTTTCTAACCACAGTTTACGGAAGAACTGGCCACCCAGGAAGATACGTTCTGACTCAACACCACCTTCACCTACTCTTTATGAATAAGGGAAGCAAAGTCACAGGTGTGTTGGGGACCTTGGGTGGGAGGGGCCTGAGCACTCCTAAGGACTTTTCCTGATATTCTTGGAGAAAAGAGATCCTGGGTACTGGGGATGATGGGTACAGATGAAAGATGGCATAAACATCAAACGCATAAGAACTTGCAGACTACTACATAACGGAAGTGTATCCATTCAAAATATAGGTAACGGGAAAACGGGTTTTGGGAATGGCTCTAGTTTTTTTTTTTTTTTTTTTTTTTTAAGTGTTGATCTTGGAGCTTCTGGTTTAGACTCTTTCTCCGCTTCCTTCTTGTGGGTCCTTACAGAAAGAAGATGCTCCACGGACGACACCAGTGTCCCCTTCGCTGCTCAGGGACCGGGTGATGCCAGGTTCGGTTCTGGCCCCCAATTCCCCTTGTCACAGTCCCTACCCCCACCCACCCCCCGGCTACTGACCGAGGCCTCGAGCAGCTGCCATAATGTGTATAAAAGAACCTCTCCCAGACATTGGTTTCCTCTGTTCTTGGAATGTTTTTGGCAGATTCCCCCCGTTTTCCAGGTCTCTTGGGAGTCTAAACACACATTTTCTTTATTTCAGACTAGATTACAAAGTGTTCACTACATTGCGCGCTTCCTACCCCTCTCCCCCTCCCAACCGTGCGCTCGTCCCTGCCAGCCCCGGGCGCGCGGGGACTCGAGGGCGTGAGCCCTGGCAGACCCAGCCTTTTGCAACTTCGAGTGCAGAATCTGATTCAGAGTCAGGACGATTCAAACTGCTATCTGCCGCCGGAAGACTGAAGGGCCCCGTGCGGCCAAATGAGAGCTGCTGCGGACCCAGCGCCGCGGTCTCCGGAGTGCGGGTCCGGTGCCTGCGACCAGGCTCCACATCGCCGCCCCACTTTTCAGACGCAGGCTTTTCAGAAAGCTGTTCATTGGAATACATCCTTCAAACCGGTGGGGAGAGGAGCGGGTGGAGCAAAGCCCGAGTGGAGTCTAGGGGCTCCAGAGCAGAGGAACTCGAAAATGCGAAATAGGCTTCTGCTGGCCTTGGATCATTCAGCTTTCATACTGAGCTGCGGCTATGTTGGGTGGTTTCGGTCCCGGCCCTCACTGGCTCTAGATCCTTGAGCTAGTTACAGCCGTTCCACTGGTACGCGGGTGGGGCAATTCATTAGGCAAGACGCGGATTAGTTGTTTATTATCTATAAACATTCCAACCACAGCAACCAATCATAAAACCGCGGAAGGGCCTTGGTGTGAGCGGTGCGGGCTCCGTGACCGTTCCTGGAGACGAGGGGTCCTTGAGAGAGAGGAAGGAGGAGAGAGAGGGAAGCGGTTTGGGGTGGCGTGGGGTCAACAAGAAAGCCATTTGTCGGAAAATCATTTACTAGATTTTTGAGAATAACGATTTTTTAAAAAAAAATGGAACAGGGGAACAGAAAAATTAGGCAGCTTAAAGTCATAAGTGGGGTTGTTGATGCCAGCAATAAAAGCTATTGATTAAATGGGAAGAACAATTTAGTCTTTGGTTCTTGGTGAAATACAAAGTGACCAATCATGAAAGGAACCTAACAATAATTATGGAGGGAAAACATGTTTCAAACTGCCTTCTTTTTAGTGACAGAAATTAGCTTTTGAGTATGGCTGAGACCCTTTTTAAAATTCTCGTTTGGGATAAAACATTTTCGAATACTCGGAGTTAGTATCAAACAATTAAATACCGTTTTAAAGTATGAAGTCTCGTCGTTGTTTTTAACCAAATAGCTATTTTATTTCTTTAGATATTAGACAAGGTTTAAATTCTCAGTGCTCATTTGATATTTTACTATATTAGAAAGCCATCCAACTTTTATACTGGTTTTCTAATAATTCAAGCGCATTGTTCTCAGTCTGATTCAGAACCTATTACTGAGAAACCAAGTTATTGGTAAATTTCTTATATATAGTTTAACAAATATATTGGTTTGCAAATTCATTAGAAATAGATTTTAGGAGATCTAGTGACATACACACATACCAGAGGTTTCCTATTTTTTAGATTTTTTAAAGCTTTTAATTGAAGTATAACAATGCAAAAAGAGCCACAAATCATACACTAAATGCTCAATAAATTATTAAAAACAGTACATCTCCTGTAACTACCTAGATCAAGAAAAAACATTACCAACATCCAAGAAGTCCCCCTCATTTAAAAGTAAAATAGGTTTGCTTTTGATTTGGAGATAGGCTTTTTAAAACAGTTGCTCATCACATGCTCAGATTTCTTTTTAGTATCAGTATTGTGGATTTTTTTTCCAGGGGATTATCTTCTGGTAAATAAAAATAAAATGCTCTGAGTTTCCCTGTGTTGAAAGGGAATAAAAAGTCTCCAAATTCATTTCCCCCCTTGGCAACCCACACCCCTTCCCAGCTTTCCCGAGTCCACACCGGGAGACATAACAAACAAACGATTACATGTTGAAAAACACAGCTGAAAACAGAAAGGTCACATTACCCCTGAGTCCTGGGGAACATTAATCTCGTGTTTGGAAAACAGTTGACAGTTGAAGGTTGGGGTTTCTCTCTCTTCTACAGTAGGTCTAAAACGGGTGGGGGAGGGGGAGGGGAGGGGGGAGAGGGAGAGAGAGTCATTTGAGAATAAAAGGGAAGAGATCATCTCTGTGGCCTCTTATAGAAATAAATGCTTTGGGGGACCACCAACTTCCAACCCAGATTTAAGTGAATGAGTGAATGCATGCATGATTGGGGGGGAAAAAAAGAATGCCACCGGGAGAAAAAGAGAATCCGAAATTGCTTGCCTTTACTCAAAGAGTGCAGAGGTGTGCGTGAGCTTTCCTAGAATAATTAATGTGAATAGTGAGCAATAGTAAGATAGCGTCAAGCCCAGAGCGCCTAAGGGCAGAGTTTGCTGGACGAAAACCAGTCCCTTCTCTAATAGTTTATGGGAAGGTGAAAGCTGATTGCCTAACTACTCGCCTGGATCGGCATTTCCCTGAGCCTGCGCCTACCCCAGGTCCCCCACCCCTCCAGTTCTCTGACTGCTCGGAATTCCTCCTCCTGACTTGGATGAGTGCCCAGAACCCACTGCCGGGTGGGGGCGGGGGTGGGGGGCAAAGTGTCGGGGGAGGTGGATTGGGTGTCTAGCACCCTGCTATCTAAGATCGCACGAGATTCTGCGTATCTGAATTTATGAGGTAGAATGAGGAAAGATCTGAAGTACGTTTCTGCGACGATAACTAGAAATATCACGCCGAAAATTATACTGGTCTATTGCAAATTCAGCATATAGTGATTTCCCCTTTATTAGCATCCTTACATCCTGACATCTCTAAAACAATGAACTTGAGAGGCAGGACAATGGAGGGGCCAGGCAGTGATAGCGAGAACCAAGGGACTTCGGGCCAAGCAGAAGTTTTCCAAGAGCTTTAAATGACCTTGAGAATGTCACTTTAACCTTAATGAGCTCAGGGATCCCCGTGCACAAAATGCGATCTGATGATGATGCGCTCTCTACCTCTCTGACTGCAGGTCAGTAATCAGGCCCTGGCGAGAAGAGGCGGTAGGTGGCTAGAAACATCTCCCTGGCTCCCTCTGCGCGTCCGAGAAAGTGCAAGCTCGCGTCTGAAGCCCAGGAGATCGGGGTGGGAAAATTAGCGGGCAATTCGCTCTGAGCCGGGACAGTTAATCTGCCTAGAGCCCGCGTGGCCAGGACTAACGCGCTTTCTCTCTGCCTGCTCTGTCCGGCTGACAGTGATTTATGCGCCGGTGACACAAGCAGGCCGTGAACCTGGATGGTTGGACGGTTCTTGGGGCCTGCAAGGAGTTAAAGCAGTACCTCTCAGCGCGGCGCAACCTGCACGCCTCTCGCGGGTGCTCGCAGTTGCAGCGCGCGGATGCGGCAGATTTTCCCGCTCAGTTGGATTCAACGTCAACCTTCTCGGTTAACCGAAGGCATTTCCACTGCTGGGTGTGTGGCCCTCGAGCCCCGGGCTCCGGACCGAACTCGAGGTGCAGGTCTCGGGCCGCTGGTGGAAACCACTTCTCCTAGAATTCAAAGCCAACTGCCTTCGGGGGAAGGGGGGCTGGGTGGATGCTTTGCCTCGGGAAAGAACTGTCCCTGGTTGTTTATTTTAAGACATGAACTCCTCCTGATCCGGAGCCCAGCCTCCCTGCGGCTATAGCCCCCGCGCCAGGCAAGCGGCCACACCGCGCTCTCTGTGAAGCAGCGAGACTGGATCAATCCGTTTGCAAATATAGTTGTTTGTTTGTTTGTTTGTTTGTTTTACAGCCGCCGGCCACGGCCGCACTTTCCTCGCGGTTCAAAGTCCACAGCAGCCGGCTCCCCGGAGGCTGCAGGCCGCCTCCCGGGACCACAAAGCGACCGCCTCCGCCCGGCAGGCCGCGGGCGGGGCCGCGGGACTCCTGAGGTGTTGGGGGATGCTGGCTCGACTCTCCGCGGTTCCTTTGTCGGCCCAGGGGTTCAAACATTCATTTTATAATCGTCCCCGAAGAACAACGCGCGACTAAGAAAGACTGCCAAGAATTAAACTGAAGTCAGGCACCCACGTTTCGGGGAGACTTTTTTCCCTTGAGCTTGGGACAAGGGGGCTGTGCCCCTTACGATTCATTCACCCTCTTTCTTCCAGCTCTCTGTTCTGCTTGATTACGAGGAGGGACGTGGACCCGGTGTGAAACCAGGCGGGCGGAAGTTGGGGGTCCTCTCCCTGGCTCAGGCGTGTCATCTCCAACCCACTGCCATCGCCAGCCCACCTCCCCCTCCCCACCCCCGGATGCAGGGACGCGGGAGAAGCAAGCATATCTGGGCACCAGAGGGAAGACGGTCAGGCCTTAATGCTCTGCGAGGGTGAGGTGTGGCGATCTCTGGGGAGTTGGGCCTTGCTGCCCTACTGCTCCTCTCCTTTATATCTCCCACCTCCTCCCCGTGACACACACACCTGGAGGGAGGGGAAATGGATGGAGAGGAGGCTGGAGAGACGCTCCCACCCACCAGGAGATCAGACTCTTCTACGGCCACGCGATTTGCCCAGTTCTGGTGGAGGTCATAGAAGGTGCTAAGACCTGCTAAGATGATGCTAAGAAGATGCTAAGATGAGAAGACACAGGAATGGTCCAACGCAACGAAGCTCAGAAGGAGACAACCCTCTCTCATTCATAAATATCACTGCAAATGTATTAGAGACCTCAAGTGATTTTTTATTCCGTTTGCAGTCTCCGCTGAAAAGGATCTGGTACTGTTTGTGCTAGTCAAGCGCCAGAACACTGTTAAAGTGAAAGGGAAAAGGGAACTAAGAATGTTTAAAAAGACACACGTAACATTTTAAGATAACCACATACAAAATGCTCACATAACTTTTATGAGGCCAGTTACAGTTAAGAAAATACATTTTCTAATTTAATAAAATTTAGTTCCTTTGGTTGTTTCAACAGACTTTCAAAATTGATGACATTTGATTATGAAACTTGACTTTGCAGAAAAATTAGTACCTTTGGCTTTTTAAACATACATAGTTATTTTGAAACAAAATGTTTTTAACTATCTGGCACAAACACAAAATACAAAACATATTTTAGGAATTATCATAATACCTCCTCCTCTATGAGATCAGAATTTGACCTATTTAAACCAAGAATAAATAGCTAACTCTTTGGTTTCAACAATTTTTTCTTCTTAGTTCCTAGATGTTGATTGAAAAGTAATAAATGACTGTTTTTAACAAATCCTTGAAAAGCAAGATTAAAAACTGTGTAATCTTCCTAGATTATAAAACATAATAAAACAAACATACTAGAAAACAAAATTTACATAAATTTCACCTCTGTATGAAACTGTCATTTATAAATTTTATACTCTTATGAAACATAATTCACTTATGTATTTTGTAACAAAATGGGAGCCTTATTGTATTACTATTTTCCTTTATCTTTAAAAAACCCCTCTCCCCAATGAAAGATCTTTTTCTTTAAGCAGCAAATTATGTCAAAATATATAATCTAAAGGAATTGGCTATTTTAAAGTTTTTTGACAACTTTGGAGATTATGTGTTGGTGTTTTTTTCTCTTTCTCTCTAATTTCCCTAATTTCCATATGTGAATATGTGTTTGTGTAACTTTCACTATCTTTCCCCATGTAAGTCATGTATATCAGGCAGGAAAAGTTAATTTTGAGACTCATATTTATTTTAAAAATGTTACACATTGTATGTATGAGGCGAGTAAACTAAATTTAGAATATTTTTTCACAACGATAGAGCAAATGTAAGGAATACTATATTATTGACGTTAAAAGAGAAAACCTCTCAGGCTGTGAAAATCAACGACCTATCTTCTCTTGATTAAAAAAAAGTACATTGAATTCTTTGGTTAGGCTCTGTATATATTAATAATGTGTCCTCAATAGTTTTGATCTCCAGTATTAATGTTGAGATTATAGAGCTAGCTTTATACCAATTAAAGAGAATTTCAGAGCAACATAAACATAAAAGGGAAAAGACATCTTCCCACATATCCACACCCCAAACTTCTATCCCCGATGCAGTAAGAATAATCTTTTTATTCCATTAAAATGGTCACTAACCTTATAATGATAAAAGAATGTTTCCATCTCTTACCTGAAAGGAGGCTTGTCAATATAACAGGAACTGAAATTGGGACTGTTCTGTGCTGTCTATTACAGTACAAGGCTCTGCGCTGTTTTGCCTCTTTGAAGGCTGAAGTAACAATGTATGACTCCTGCCTCCTGGGACCCTATGAAAATGAGATAGCTGGTTCCAATAAAAGCTATAGACCTTGACGCTGGGACAGAGTTGAGGAAAACCGATTATTTCACATACACTAAAAAATAATTAACATGTTATTCTAAACTTGTTTTTCTTGAATATTTTTGTATGTACATATGAATGCTATCCTCATTCACACAAATATGAAAGAAATGATTTTACTGACACAAATACTACTTAAACCTTTTGTTTTCAGAGGGGCAAAAACCACCTTAGAAAGCAGTTGCTTAAAGCCTTTGAAATTTGAATATTTTAATTTATAACATATCCTTATCATCTTAAAAAATGTTAGGCTTCTTCAAAGCTGGCACTTTAAAATTTTCTGTGGTTTGGTGGGCTAGGTATGTAGGGTTGCCTTTCCCATTAACTCTGTCAAAATGCTTTGCATTTAACATTTATTTGGATGTGTGTGCAAATCTGTTTAAGACTATGAACTCTGGAGAGTTTTCATTCTATGCAACATAAATGAGTTTTACATAGTGAATACATATGTTTCAGCTGAAAAAAAAACAGGCTTTGTATCTCGACAATATATTATTAAAATGTTTTAGGATATTGTCAGCCTAAGATCAACTTAATATAAAAAAATTAAAAGACTAAGTTCTTTTAATGAAATACTAGCTTATGTTATATGTATACCTATTTTGCTGATTTTAAAATGGAAACTGATTCTCCTGAGAAAGAAATTTGAGGTGATTACCTAATGAATTATCTTTAGCCTAATGTTAAGGTACTAAAACACAGTCATATATTTTGCTTTTTAAAATATTTTCAAAAGAAAGTCTTAAAAATCAAAAAAGGTTAGAGGAATATTCAACTTAAAAGCTATCATTCTGCTCTTTAAAATTACCAATCTTTATGCCAGGAGAAATATGTTTAAGAGTCATTAACACTGTAGGCACATTGAAGGGGAAGCACAGAATATTATTTTTAAAATAAAATATATATATATATTCATACATGTGCATACGTACTCTTTTTAAAAAGAGGCCTAGAGAGGTTTCATAATTTTTGGTAATAGATAAAAGGAATAGCAAGTATCACAGACTAAACGAGAAGAAAGCCAGTCATGACTTTTTAAGTAAAGGAGAAAGATTATTTTCCAGGGTAAATTTAGCTTTATTTGGAGCAGTTGAGGTGAAGAAGAGGTAGGTGCTCACTCCCTAAATTAAGTCAACTGGATAATCTATCTACATAGAGCAATGAAGACATCTCTTATTCTAATGAGCTATGTAGACATTTCTCTAACCTGAGAATATAGAGCACCATTTACTTTTGAAATAATTTAGAACTTTTATTTCAGTTAGGAAACATATTTTGCCAACATCATATTGTAACTGTATTTTCAATGATATTCTCCATAATAATAATATTTAAATGGAGAGTACCTCCAATGGTAAGTCATCCTCCATTAAACAGCTCTATAGTGACGGTCTATGAAGCGCCAGGCACTGTAGCAGGAGCATCATCAATGAACAAAACAAATAAAATTCCTCCTACTTGGACGCAGAGCAATTCTTTCCCACGTGTAGGGAAATTAATCATTAGGGGCGGGGGGAAGACTGTAGTTTTCGGATTGTCCACTAGGTGGCAAAATGTGAAAAACTGACCGCCTGCTGGGGAGCCAAATTTGGTGCGAAGAATAGCGTATTTCTTTGAAAATCTCGTTCATATGTTGCTTAAACCGTCTCTTTTTGAGCACTACAGTTAACAGCTAATGGTTGGATTACATCTTGTGTTTAGTTTATAAACCATTGCCAGCTGCTTTTCCTGGAGTCCTGTCTGCAAGAATCCCAAAATTATTTTAAGACGTCTTTGTACGTTCCTTACCTTACTTCTCTGTGTCCTCAGGTGTGTAGGGTATAGACATCTGTCTAGGGATATAAATATCTGGCTTTGCATAGGGCCTCACGAAGGCTTGGGTCGATTTTATTCAGATTTACATAGAGAGATTTAGTCATTAGACTTCAATTTGCTAATTTAAGGAGATATTGTCCAAAAACACTAACATCCTAGAGTAACATTCATGCTGTGGAGTAGCCAAACACATTTGCTAATATATACATTCGTACAATCATGCATATATTTTGTATTCAGAGGTCTCTGAAGTAAGATCTTATACTTAAATCAAACAAAGTGAAAGTGAAAGTGTTGGTTGCTCAGTTCTGTCTGACTCTTTGACACCTCATTGACTGTAGTCCACCACGTTCCTCTGTCCATGGAATTCTCCAGGCAAGAATTCTGGAGTGGGTAGCCATTCCCTTCTCCAGGGTATCTTCCCAACCCAGAAGTCAAACCCAGGTCTCCCACATTGCAGGCGGAGTTTTACTGTCTGAGCCACCAGGGAAACACCAAAGAAACACAATTATGTCATTTAATCAGATCTCTCTGGGACAGAATGAAGATATTAGTCCCAAATA